GGGCAGCAGAAGGTGGGGGTGGGGGAGGAGCGGCTATACGGTATAATGGGTACTAGGGCAGTGGAGAGTAAAAAGAGAGATTTAAAAGGCTTAGAATTTTCACCTGGGAAAAGAGGAGACTCGAGGGATAGGACCGAGGTTTATAAAATCGTGACTGGTCTGGAAAAAGTGACTAAGGAAAAGTTATTTACCTATTCCCACAATATGAGAACTAGCGGTGACTAAGGAAAAGTTATTTACCTATTCCTACAATATGAGAACTAGCAGTTTTTCTTCACACAGCACACGGTCAACCTGTGGAACTCCTTGCCAGAGGAAGTTGTGAAGTTCAGGACGTTAACAGGGTTCCAAAAAGAGCTAGATACATTCCTCGAGGTTAGGTCCATCAATGCCTATTAGCCAGGGTGGGTAGGAATGGGGTCCCTAGCCTCTGTTTCTCTGGAAATGGGTGACAGGGGAGGGATCACGTGAGGAGTCCCTGGTGTGTTCCTTCCCTCTGGGGCATCTGGCATTGGCCACTGTCGGCAGACAAGATACTGGGCTGGATGGACCTTTGGTCTGACCCAGTCTGGCCGTTCTGATGTTCTGAAGATGATGCAGCTGACTGAGAACTCACTATATCCCGATATTCTCCTATCACACTACCAGAGGGTTTGAATGTCAGTTACCGTAGAGGCAGCCCTACCAGACTTTTGGTTTAATCCTCTTAAATGAAACCCAGCTGGTATCTTCTGACTACTATGGACCAGCTGGGCCATTGTTTTAACTTGCAGTGCCACGCTGGCTTCTGTGGAGCTTCTGCTGACAATTTGGTCCAAAGAATGTATGGAGAACTTTTCCGAGGGCCTCCTTAACTTCTCTGTTTCTCAGGCTGTAGACCAGGGGATTGACCAAGGGAGTGAGGAGGGTGTAGAAGACAGAGAACACTTTGTTCAACTCTCTCAGGGTGCGATTTTTCGGCACCACGTAAACCATGATTATGGTGCCGTAAAAAACGGTGACAACGGTAAGGTGGGAGGAGCAGGTGGAGAAGGCCTTTTGTCTCCCGCTGGTGGAAGGGATCCGCAAGATGGTGACCATGATGCAAGCGTACGACGTCATGGTCAAGAGGAAGGGGGCCAGGGTTTCGATGGAGGAAAGAATCCATGTCACCCATGTGGTCAGGCTGGTGTCCCCGCAGGAGAGTTGAATCAAGGGGGTGAAGTCACAGAAGAAATGATCGATTTCGTTGGGGGCGCAGAAACGTAATTGCGACACCAAAGCCATCATGATTGTACTGCCCAGAAAGCCACCGGTCCAAGACCCAGCCACCAGCAAGAGGCAGTTCCTAGCCTTCATGCGGACGGCATAGTGCAAAGGTTTGCATATGGCTACGTACCGGTCATAGGACATCGCGGCAAGGAGGTAACATTCTGAAGCAGCCAGGAAACCAAAAAAATAGAGCTGTGTGAGGCAGCCAGGAACGGAGATGGTCCTGTCTCCCGTCAGGAGCCCGGCCAGAAGCTGAGGCAGGAGGGTGGAGCTGTAGCAGGTCTCCAAGCAGGACAAGTTCCCCAAGAAGAAGTACATGGGGGTGTGGAGGTGCCGATTGGCCACCACTAGCAACACGATGAGGATGTTCCCGGCCATGGTCACCACGTAGATCACTAGAAACAGCAAGAAGAGAAGAAATTGCACTTCCGGGGCATTGCTGATTCCCAGGAGTATGAATTCTCTGGCGGACGTCTGATTTTCCCCCTTCCTTTCCTCCATTCAGTGTGGCTACCCTGACAGAGAAAAAGTAAGAACAATGCACATAGGTTCCAAAATAACTAGGATCCATATTCAACCAGGTCACTTTGCGTCTAGTTCTGGGGCCCCCGGCACGGCAAGGACGTGGATTCACTGGAGAGGGTCCAGCAGAGGGCAGCCAAAATAATTCAGGGGCTGGAGCGCATGACCTACAAGGAGAGGCTGAGGGATTTGGACTTGTTTAGTCTGAAGAAGAGAAGAGCGAGGGGGGATTTGAGAGCAGCCTTGAACTCCCTGAAGGTGGGTTCCAAGGGGGTGAAAAGAGGCTGTTCTCAGTGGTGACACTAAGCTAGGGCAGGAGGTAGATACGCTGGAGGGCACAGAGAGGGTCCAGAGTGACCTAGACAGAGTAGAGGATTGGGGTGGGTGCAATCCATCCCCTCATCCAGGTCATTGATAAAGAAGTCGAACAAAACCGTCCCTAGCACCGATCCTCAGGACCCGCCACTAGAAACCGACCGCCAACCTGACATCGAGCTGTTGATCACAACTCGTTGGGCCCGACAGTCCAGCCAGCTTTCTATCCGTCTTATAGTCCATTTATCCAATCCAGACTCCCTTAACTTTCTGGCAAGAATATTGTGGGAGACCGTATCAAATGCTTTGCTAAAGTCGAGGTATATCACATCCACCGACTTCCCCACATCCACAGAGCCAGTTACCTCATCATAGAAGCTAACCAGATTGGTTAGGCATGACTTGCCCTTGGTAAATCTTTCTTTCTCTCTCTCTCTCTCTCTCTCTCTCTCTCTCTCTGGGTACATCTAGATTACATGCCTCTGCCAACAGAAGCATGTAAAATAGGCTACCCGACATAGTCAATGAAGCGGGGATTTAAATATCTCTGGCTTCACTAAAATAAAAATGGCCTCTGCGCTGTGACGGCTCAGCTGATTTTCAGCACAGCGTGCAAGTCAAGACGCGGATCAGTCAACAGGGAAAGCCTCTGTCAACCGCTCCTGTAAACCTCATTTCATGAGGCATAAGGGAGTGGTCGACAGAGGCTTACCCTGTCGACCAATCCACGTCTTTACTGGCGCGCTGTGTCAACGATCAGCTGAGCCGGCACAGTGCGGCGGCCATTTTTATTTTAATGAAGCTGGGGATATTTAAATCCCCGCTTCATTGACTATGTCAGATAGCCTATTTTACATGCCTCTGTCGGCAGAGGCATTTAATCTAGACGTACCTCTGTGTCTCTCTTTCTCTCTCTCTGACCAGCACCCAATGACTAAGGAGTTAAGTCAAATACCTAGCAAAGGTGTTGAGCAGTCAGCCAATAAAATGCAGATAGGAATTTCAAACTGGAAAAGAGGGTTCTCTCTCTCTCTCTCTCTTTCTCTCTCTCTTCTTTTTTGAGATCAGAGAAATTTCTCCCAGGGATTGAGGGAGATGGGAGACATTTCTTTCTCCAAGAACGGACTTCTTAAAATGTGTATGTAAGTAGGGAGAAGTTTAGATTGCCCATCAGGGTTTATTGTTTTCCTTGTTTGGGGATTTGGAAGTCATGTCTGAGCTGGCTAATTGTGTTTTTATCTCTTTTGTAACTAAGGATTACAGTCCGGGGTTTTTCCCTGAGGATCTATATCAAATGGTGGCTCTTTCCATCTAGCCAATGTACGATGCTTGCAACTGTAGTTTTGTTTTGGTAATAAAAGATTGGTTTTTTTTTTCTAATTAACCAGTATTGGTTGATTGTTGTGTCCTTCAGACCAAGTGCCTAGTTACAAGGGCAGAGTTATTGTTCTCTGTGGATTCCCTGTTTTCCCAACTCCAAGCAAAATGGAGGAAGGAAGTTTCTTAGGTGACCTCTTCCCTGGTTTTCTTGGAATTACTTGGGTGGTAGCAGCGGGTTCCCCAAAATATGGGAATTTGGATTTTGTAGGGGGAAGTTTTGGTACCAGACCCTGCCAAGTCCAGGTTTTGGGAACCTCTTGCAGGCCCCCAACCTCTGCATTCGGTGTGCCAGAGTGGGGAACAGCCTTGATGTTGGCCCTTGGTGAATCCCTGTTGATATTCCTGAACCCTTTCCCCTCTTCCAAGTGCTTCAGAATGGATTCCTTGAGGATCCCCTCCATGATTTTTCTGGAGACTGAGGTAATACTGACCAGCCTGGATCGTCCTTCTTCCCTTTTTTAAAGATGGGCACCACATTTCTTTTTCCAATCAGCCGGGATCTCTCCCGATCTCCACGAGTTTGCAAAGATCATGGCCAAAGGCTCCGCAATGACATTTGCCAACTCCCTCAGCATCCTCGGGTGCATTCAATCCGGACCCATGGATTTGTGTATGTCTAGTTTTTTTTAAAAATGGATTCAATCCAGACCCATGGATGAGGGGGCTTGAGCTGATGACCTACGAGGAGAGGCTGAGGGATTCGGGCTTGTTTATCTGCAGAAGAGAAGAGTGAGGGGGGATTTGGTAGCAGCCTTCAACTCCTTGAAGGGAGTACGGTTTCTAAGACAGCGCCATGTGATTTAGGATGCGCGATCCTATTTTTCCAAGTTCGTCAGTCACTTGGCAAAATTATTTTTAATAGATTTTTCATAGGACGTATTATTTAAGCACCCAGAGTCCCATTTTCGAAAGTGTAGATTTTGAAAGGTATGTCCTACTGAGATTTTCAAAGGCATGTCAGAGTGTTAAGTGCCTAGATGCTTTTGGAAATCCCTCTAGACACCTAAATACCTTAAGAAACCTGGCCCGAAGGCACTTTGGAAAATGGGACTTAGGCTCGTCAATGCATCTGAAAATGTCATGAGGCTCCTAAATCAATTAGGCAGCTAAATCTACCGAATCTTTTCCATCTTTTCTGTTCTGAGCTGGGGGAACACTCAATGCATCTTAGCTGCCCACGGGCTCCTGCAAAGAAGGGGGCATTGCCTGACGAGCTGAGACAGCAGTAGCACAAGAGTGTCCAGATGGCCAGGCAGGACCAACGCCCAGTGCAATCGGGGCTGGAGAAGAGGAGGCAACCTTGCACCGGCCACAAGGCAGAGATGGGTCTTCTGAATCACCCCAGTGGCACCCTACATGTGCTGCCCGACTGATGTGAGTCTCCAGCCATGGAACGGCTCGTGGTTTCTACGCCAGTGGAACAGCCGTAACGCAGATCTCCCAGCAAGGCTCTGCAGCATCTCAGTCCAGCAATCACCGACTCTTAGGACATGAGAACTGGAAGGGACCTCGAGAGGTCATCGAGCCCAGTCCCCTGCCCTCATGGCAGGACCAAGCACCGTCTAGACCATCCCTGAGAGATATCAGTCCAACCTGCTCTTCAGTATCTCTAGGGATGGAGACTCCACAACTTCCCGAGGCACTTTATTCCAGTGTTTCACCACCCTAACAGGTAGGACGTGTTTCCTAATGTCCAACCTAAACCTCCCTTGCTGCAGTTTAAGCCCATTGCTTCTTGTCCTGTCCAGAGAGGCCACGGACTACTATTTTTCTCCCTCCTCCTTGTAACACCCTTTCAGGTACTTGAAAACTGCTACCATGTCCCCTCTTTGTCTTCTCCTTTCTAAACGAATCAAGCCCAATTCTTTCCATCTTCCTTCAGAGGTCTTATCTACTAGACCTTTCATCATTTTTATTGCTCTTCTCTGGACCTTCTCCAATTTCTCCACATCTTAATTGAAATGTGGTGCCCAGCACTGGACACAATACTCCAGCTGAGGCCTAATCAGCACAGAGTAGAGAGGAAGAATGACTTTTTGTATCTGGCTCACAACACTTCTGTTCATGCAGCCCAGAATCATGTTTTTTTTTTGCAGCATCACACGGTTGACTCATATTTAGTTTGTGGTGCACTCTGATCCCTAGATCCCTTTCTGCCGTACTCCTTCCTAGACAGTTGCTTCCCGTTCTGTATGTATGAAACGGATTGTTCCTTCCTAAGTGGAGCATGTTGGATTGGTCCTTATTCAAATTCATCTTATTGACCTCAGACCATTTCTCCAGTTTGTCCAGATCATTTTGACTTATAATCGTATGCTCCAAAGCACTTTCAATCCCTCCCAGCTACGTATCATTCAATATCTTTATTGTCGATGAAGATATTAAACAGAGACGGTGTCAAAATATTAGGGACATTCCAGTATTAGGGTCAGCAGTGAGATAAAACCAGGGGAGAGGAGAGAAGTGAGGGAGAGATGGAAATGCAGAGGCAAACCCTGTGCCGGGTGGGAGAAAGGTGTCTGCTCTTTCCATATCTGTGTGGATTTCCCATCAGCTTGGGATGCCTGGAAGCTGTGCTGAGATCCCCAACTATTCCTGATTGAGATGGATGGATGGATGGGCTGGCAGGAAGGCAGGTGGATGGATGGATGGATTGGCAGACTGATGGATGGATGAGTGGGTGGGCAGGAAGGCAGGTGGGTGGGTGGATGGATGGATGGGCAGACTTGAGGATGGGTGGAAGGAGGGATGGATGGACGGATGGATGGGCAGATGGACAGACGGATGGATGGATGGGCAGATGGACAGACAGATGGATGGATGGATGGGCAGACTGATGGTTGGATGCATGGATGGATGGGTGAATGGGCAGATGACGAATGTATGGGCAGACTGATGGATGAATGGATGGGTGGATGTATGGACGGATGGGTGGATGGGCAGACGATGAATGTATGGGCAGGATGATGGATGGATGGATGGGCAGACAGATGGATGGATAGATGGACAGACAGACAGACGGACAGACGGATGGATGGGTGAGTATTTCCTTTTCATCAGCAGGATTCCCTGCAGGATAAGAAGCAGACCCTAAAATCCAGATACGGGGAAAATACCCATTAATCGTGCTCTGTGGTGAGACTTGAATCAGCAGAAAACACTGAGTAACATGTGTGGAAGGGCCTCAGGTTTTCCCCTAGCACGGAAACACGTACCTTCAATCCTGAGTGCGGAGCTACTGCCTTTCGGCTGAAGATGACTGGATCTGGGGAGCGGAATCTGGC